AACACAATAACACTAAGGAAAAGGAAGACACAGAGAGGTACACAAGAGGTACAGATAACAAAGATAAACATTTTTACATATACAATACTGCACCATCAGTGATAACAAACATTAATGTATGGGTGAATAGATGGGTAGACAGGCTGAATGATCAAGTATGTCTAGGCAAAAGGGAATATACCCAAAAAGTTGGCGGACAATATTTCTGCATATGTATTTCTATGTGTTGTGAGAATCTCTATATAAGTAGTTGGAACTGTGTGCTAGAGCCTGTTGTCGCCAGGGGCTATCAAGCTCAACTGGCTTAACATCCTACACAAAAATATTGTTCTACATCCTACTTTGGTAAGTAGTAACTGGGGTCTTAAAAGCCTCCAAGTGGCCATCTAGATTCAACAATGGGTCTCTCCTCATCCAGAGCAAAGAAAAATAAAGAAAACCAAAGACATATGAAAACAGTTAGTCCAAGGGACTAGTGAACCATGCTAACCTCAGCCTATATAACCATGAGACTGGAAGAACCAGATGGTGCCTGGCTACCACTGTCACCCACATGGAAAGGGATCAGTACAGGAGATCCTATACAGAGTGGAAGAACAACGTGCAACAAAACTCAAAATCATAAAATAGACCAAGTTTACTGGTCTGATAGAGCCTGGTGAGACCCCTGAGACTATGGTCCTAGTTACCCTTCAGGCCTGGAACTGAACTCACTCCCATGGCTTCCAGCCAAACAACAGACAGGCATACAGGGTGAATACTTACACCAGGTAGATACACTCCTTAGAATGATCAGTCATGGGAGAACAGAAGGGCAGTATTTGCACAGGGAGACAGCATAGGGGGCAGGAATGCATAGGAAGGAAAGACACAGGGAAGAGGTAACTCCAGGGAGGAAGGAGGAAGAGAGCTGTCACACTGTGGGGATTGTAGTCAATGTCATAAAACATAATGTATATGAACTGCTGTATGGAAAATGACTTTGCTCTGTTAATTTTCACTCAAATCACAGAAAAAATTAATAAAAAGAAAATAAGTATTTGTAAAGAATAAGTCATTGGTCTCGCAAAATTCTACAATGTGATCTTTGGTGTAATTTCTTTCACCAAGGCCGTATTTTCCAAGTACCAATGCTTTTTTGTTCTCAACATTTGCATTCCAATCTCCTATAATTATCAATGCACCTTGATTGCATGTTTAGTCAAGTTCAGACTGCAGAAGTTGGTAAAAATCTTCAATTTCTTCATCTTTGGCTTTAGTGGTTGGTATACGTAATATACACACATACATATATATATAAAACCAACAGACTGGCAAACTTCTCTACTGCTAAAAGCAAAACACTATATCAAAGTCAAAAGACAAATGATCTAGGGATAATATCTACAACCCATCTTATTAACAAAGGGTTAATTTCCTTAATTTAAAAAGAGCTTTCAGTAAATGTGAAGATTCAATATCCAATGGAAAAAATGGGCAAAGAACATAAACAGTTTATAAAAAAAGTAGAACAAAACCACAAGTTGCCCTACACATGAGAAAATTTCATCAAATGCAAAATAAAAGTACAAAACTATTTCTTGCAAATCATATTGATGAAAATCTAAGAGCATGACAACTCTAAAGTCAAAGCTATAAGGAAACAGCTACTCTCACTCATTGATGCAAAATACTTAAGAGCCCTTATGGAAGGCAATCTGGAAATAACTATTAGAATAACAAACACATATATCCTTAACTCATCAACTCTAGGAGTTTATCTTATAGATATATCTGCATAAATATGAAAATGTGTTCTGAAAAAGCAACTGATATAAGAGACTGGCCATCTTTTGCTGTGCCAGAAAGCAAGAAATCTTTAAGGGGCTAGTGAAGATTTAATAGGATATAAAAGCTAACAAGAGGTACGCCTACTGGTTAAATACAGGACAACTTGAGTATAAAAAGAATAACAAATACAATTGATCAAAATATAAAAATCCATAAGTACATAATGATACTAAAAAAAAAAAAAAATGCTTAAACAAACCCCCAAACTTCTCCCAATCTTTCCCTCAATTTTCACTTCCAACTATTTAAAAGCACTTAATCTTCTAAAAATCTAATGTGCCTCACTCTCTTGGGTGGGCAGGTTGCTATGAAGTAAAGAATATGCCAGTTTATCTTCCCCTAGCACTAGGCTGAAAAGGAAAAAAAAGAAAAATTTTAAGTGACTATTCCAGATTATGAGACCACTCTGTTTAGGATCTAAAATAGGCTTCTTTTAAATCATCTTTGTTGACACAGTCATAAACTTCAGCAAATCCTGGAGCTAGACTCACATAGATTTCTTATAAACTTTAACGTGTGAGTGAACATCTCCTTTTGATTTTGTCTAATGTTTATCTGCTATAGTTTTTAATAACTTCTAAAAAGGAAGCCTTATAGTATTTTTATTCTGTATTTTACAGTAAAAATAACAAATGGACAGCATATATATCCTTTTCAAACTACAGCATATTTTGCCTTTGTCCTCTCAAAAACTTTTTTATGATAGTCATCACTTCTTTTTACGTTTCATAGAAATATATATAATAGAAATATCCTAAGATATATTATTATATATAATGAAATCCCTGGGTGGTACAGTTAAGCATTCAATTACCAGCTCAAAGGTTGGTGGTTCAAACCTACCTAGAGGTACTTCAGAAGCTAGGCTTGACAATTTGCCTACAAAAGGTCACAGTCCAGAAAATCCTATGGAACAGTTCTTCTCTGGGTTCACCATCAGCTGGAATTGACTTGATGGCAATTAACAACAATAATTACATAACAGTAAAGTCTACATTTCTAAGGCAAAAGAGTTTAAAACTATTCTTAATATTTAAAAAAGTTGCTAAAATTAACATGAAAGTTAATTATCATAATCAATTTTTAATAGATGTTCATTAAATAATTAGATTGATTAGTAAAGCTTATAAATTTACTTCACTATGACACTCTCTTCCAGTAAAAGTGAGTGTAGAAGAGGTGATCACACTTGCTAACTAGCTTAAGACCAGCTAACGAAAAAGGAAGATAATAATGTATTTTAAAATTAACACTATTATACAAAAAACAAAAGTCATGGACACAGGGACATCAAAATCTTGTGGTTTTGGGAAAATGTAGAACAGAATTTCAAAGTTTCATGAACTCCAGACTTTCTTGATCCATGGAGCCTAGATGAACTCCTCAAGCTATTGCTCTGAGATAATCTTTAAGCCTTGAACCAAAAATATCCCCTAAAGTCTTAAAACCAAACAACAGTTTATCTTAAACAGCAAAGAATGTCTGCCTTGAACACTTTCAAGCTCTCTTAAGAACTATCTACATGGGATCAAACTGACAAAAGCAACTTGAAAGATTAAATATGAAATTTAGGGGACAGTATGTTTATGTTAATGGAAGAAGAACAATGTGGAAAAGGAAAGTGAGAATGGTTGTACAACTTGAAGAATATAATCACTGTCATTGAATTGTACATGTAGAAATTGTTGAATTTGGTGTATGTTCTATCATGCATATCATCAACAACAACAAAAATAAATAAAAATAAATTGGAAAAAAAAAAAACCAAACCAAACCCATGCAATTCATTGGGAAGTAACTAGTGCACAAAGTCTTTACTCTGAAATTGGCAATTAAATGAAAAGAATTAAACATTTATTCTGCCTTTCTTCAACAAATCATATTTAAGGGCAATCAAATAGCCCTAGCTGATGAGGGTAAGTTCTCTTCCACATAAAAATTACACCAAATGCAAATAAAAGAATTAGAAAAATTACCAGCTGGTAAACCTTAGCAAAATAAATGATTCAGGTAACAATCATCACCGGATTGAACATAAGTAATAGAAAGGTTGACTGAGAAATTTACAATAGGAAGCTCAGGCTGTCATCCCTGAACCTTCTGATCAGTCTTAGCATCACTAAAATTAGAACAACTAGATACCATGGTACCACAAAGTATGATATAATATGAAGCACTTGTGTATTTTTGAACAATTCTTAAATTAAGATTCTATAACTAACTTCCGGTCTCAGAAAATACATGACAAAGGAACAAGGTAATGACACCACAAGAAAACATAAAGAAAAATCCAGATTTGAAGATATTCTACAAGACAAATAACTAAGTTTCTGTAACAAGTCAACTGCATAAAAAAGGGGGAAAAAAAGATGGACAGAAACGGGACCGCTAGATTTAAAAAGGCGTAATTAAATATGACGTATGGATCTTGTTTGGATCCTAATTAGGACCAATTAACTATTAACAAAATTGAGATAATCAGGGAAATCTGATTATGGACATATTATCTAGAGCCTATAAATAATTATTTTTAATTTTCTTACATGTGATGATACTGTGGCTATGTAAGAAAATACCTGTATTTTAAGAGATGCATACTGAGACACTTAGAGACAAAAATAACATGCTGTCTGGGATTTGACTTAAAAATACTGTCATAAAGGAAGATACATGGATATATAAGCAAAGGTAGAAAAATCTTACAATCAGGACTATATCTACATATATGTCAGTTCATCATACTATTCTCTTTACTTTTATATGTGCTGGAAAATTATGGTAAGAAAACACCTAGAAATGAGAATGTAATTAACACCCCATAAGCAGCAGGCATATGCTTGGGGTCACCATGAGCAACAGACTACTTTTCTCTCAAAATATGTATTTCATATTGAAATGTTGAATTAAAGTTAAAAAAACAAAGTGAGTTATAATAGAAGATTGCTTGGATGACCATGTGAGGGCTTTTATATATGTTTTAATGGGCTTACTTTGGGTTTAGTAGCATTCTGGGATAAATTTTGTATAAAGTCTTTCTAAATAAAATGTAATAAAAATGTAAGTTTTTCCAGTTTGTCTTAATGTTCAAAAATTACTTCAAGATCTCAGCATGTAACGTTATAGATACAAATCAACTAAGCAATAACAGAATATGGCTTTAGTTCCCTTACCATCGATATTAAGCATCATTTTCCACATGGCAGGCCGAACGGACTGATGGAATCCAAACCATACTTCCCTGCCCCCTCCCAGAGGGTGGTCATATCCTTCTGGAGCTGAGAAAAAGGAACGCCCCACAGGCGTATATCTATAAAAATTAAAATGGCATGTTCAATCTTTTCTTTCCCATATAAATATTTAAATACATTTTCCAAATTTGCAAAAGCAAAAAGCAGTCATTCTAAATGAAAAAAATATATCAGCATCTTTCAATGAAATTACCTATTTTTAAGACTCATGTTTGAATAAGAACAAATTTTAAATAAAATACTTCTAAAAAATGGGTTAAAAAAGTTAAGTTTTAACCTTAGAAAATAAATAATTATCGATCAGAAATATAATTCTATAAATGTGTTTGCAAGACAAATTTTTTTTAAAAAAGATACACTGATCCTATCTATCTCTATGACAAGTGTGATGAAAAGAGTAACAATTTCAACACAATTTTAATGCTAATATTAATGCTACTATGTAAACATGAAATTACTTTTACAAGGTGACTTATCTATAGGAATATATTAAAAAATATATCATTTACTCAAGATTTACAGCTCCTAAGAAAAAGAGACATTTTTCAATAGAAGTACTCATTAAAATGTAAGCTAACAATGTACACTTAATTTCAAAGTCCAACAAACTTTAAGTTACTTTTATAAATGAACTTGCATTCATTCTATTCTTGACCAATTTTAAAATAAAAATATACAACATATGAAAATCAACCAAGGAAGTCCTGCACAACTCACTCCTGGGAGGAAAACTTTCGCACTTAAATTAAAACCTAAAAAGGAGGGAATAAAAGCCAAATGTACCCACTTCATGGAGGGCAAATGTCGTAGCACCACATCGACAGCATGGACAGGATTAGTGCTGATTGGCTTGTCTAACTCCAGTGGCTCAGGCAAGGTCCGTCCTGTCAGTACTTCATGCAGTAGATGCCAGCTCACCCGAGAGACAAATTTGATTGACACCTTGAAAGGTCGATCTTTTCCACCTTCCCCAGGTAACGTAACATCTAAATCTACCTGTTGATAGGAAAAGAGTCAATTGGTAAATGTTGACAAAGAAAAATACAATTAAGTTTAATTTATAAACATACCCAAGAGAAAACAAGCAAAAATAAAAAATTCATCTCAATGTTAATCCAATGGTTTTAAATTTAAGTAACATAGTTATTCATGCCAACATTATCTGTCATTGCAAATTACTGGAAAGTATCTAAATGAACAAATATTTAGGCAGCTATAAAAAAAATAAAGAATGAGGAAGATCTCTTAGAATTGCTATGGAATAATTTCCAAGCTAGGTTGTTAAGTGAAAAAGTAAAGTACAGAAGATTACAAATAGCATGTCATATTTTGTGTGAGAAAGAAGGGGAAATTGGGAAAATATTCATATATTTGCTTATTTACAAAAAAGAAACATAGGTAGCATGAATTAGAAACAAAGAGATAAGTTACTTTCAAGGGACAGAAAGAAATGATTAAAAGAATAAGGATGAAGTGACAGTTCTGAATATATATTTTTTTGCATAGTTTTTACATTTAAAGGCATGTAAAGTTCTACATTTAATAAAAATTTAAAATAAAATGAACAAGGACTGGAGGAGGGAGGAACTAAAACTAAATACAAACAGATCAAATGAATGTTTGATCGCAAACTGAGGGAAATTTATCTAAAGAATGACAGAACCCAAATGCATTCAAAATGAGTAACATAACCACACTGAAGGGGAAAAAAAACTATTGCAATTAACTCTTCAATGCATTACACTGACTGTATCTAAGTTAGGGGTGTGGGAGGAGGAAGAAATGCATACAGAACAGAACTCTGAACAGTAGAGATAGTTTTGTTTTTTGTAGTGGTACAGTAGTAGTAATTTGGAAACTATTTTATATTCACTGTAGGACTGAGCAAATGACTAAAAAGGGTGATGTTTTGGGAGTGAGGGGTCTATTAAAGAAGAAGGAAGATACATATATGGAATGGGGCAAAGAAGGGAGGAATCCTATGGGTATAGATAAGAATTCGAAGTATCACGGTAAACTCATTTCCTTTACATACACATGTACATACATACATACATACATATACATATACATTCACACATATGCATACACATAAACACACACATACACACACGATTTACTATATGACAGGTAATACTGGCACAGGGATTAAGCACTTGGCTGCTAACCAAAAGGTCAGTGGTTCAAACCCACTGGCCACCCTGTACAAGTAAGATGTGGCAGTCTGCTATGATAAAGATTTATAGCCTTGGAAACCTTATGGGGCAATTCTACTATGCTCTTCAGAGTTGCTATGAGTTGGAATCAACTCAACAACAACGGGTTTGGGTTTTAGGTAAAACTTACTATCTGTCTGTCTATTTTTCCCACCTCTGCCCACTGAAAAAGATTAAAAGCAGACACCCCCGTACTAATAAGCATACCTAGAATCCAGATTTTGGTTTCTAAATTGCATTCCTCAACTAAAAGAAACTAAATTGCATTCCTCAACTAAAAGAAACCCGGGCTCTGTTGAGAAATGGCCACTGGCCAGGCTGTAGCAGGGAAGACATAAGATGAGTCTGGAATATTTTGTACCAGAAAATAAGGACCTGCTCAGGAAAAAAGAGGGAGAGATGTGTATCTTGTCAAAAAGGCCACAGGTGCCAACTTGAAGGGTCTTCCACCAGCCAAATTTAAGACAATCTGAATAGTTAAATAAATAAAGATAAATAAATAGAGGGAAAGAAAAATCTCCCTTACAGTAGGATACCAACTAAGAAATGTAGAAAGAATGACAGAAAAAGAAAATACCCTTACTACATAGTAATAATCCTTTCATATAAGAATCATCAATCATTTGTGAATGAGTTTAATGAGAAAGGGAACCTTAAAAGTATCTCCACACAAGATACTTTATTAACTACCAAAAGGAAAAGATAACAGGAGAAACCTGGCACATAACAACCTAACCAAGTAACATCACCATTAATTTAAAAAAAAAAAAAAAATGCATACCCTGTGTCTCTTGATAGGGCACACTGATTAGGAAATAACATGTAATATTCCTGCCAAATATGCATAATCATAATCTAATCAAGAAAAAGCAACACGAACTGAGGGATGTTGATCTAAATAATTTGCCTGTAATCTTCAACAATGCCAATGTCATGAGAAAGACAAAATAAAAATTTGGGGAATTGTTTCAGAATAGAGGAATTAAGAGACATGTATCGAAATGAAATGATGATCCTGAGCTGGATCCTAATAATGGGGGTGGGTGGGGGGGAAGTGCTACAAAGAACACCATTGGAAAAATACACAAAATTATAATATAGACTGTCATTAGATAGAAGTATCATATCAGTGGTAAATTCAGTGAAGTTGATAACTGGTTTTTATTCTTCTTCTTCGGAAACATACGTTGAAGTGTTAGGTATTAAAGGGGTATGATGTATGCAAGCTGCTCTCAAACAGTTCAGGAAAACATAAAAGTTTATGTGTCTCTTTCTCTATACAAACCTACATCTACTGCTATGAAAAGAGAATAAAAGAGGGAAAGAGAATAAAAGAGAGGGAAAGAGAATAAAACAGACAGAAAGAAAAGAATTCTGATAAGACAAATGTGGCAAATATTAAAAACACTGGTAAATCTGGGTTAAAGGTATAAGTCAATTCTACATCATTTCTGCAGCTTTTCTATAACTCTGAAATTACCTCAACATAGAAAAGGTTAAAACATATGAATGACCTATATACATATATATGAACTGTAATAAAATAAAATGGGAATAAATGCATTTAAAAGGAGACATAGCTTTCCAATATAGAAATGGACATCTTACCCCAGTAGTTGCCACAGGAAGTGGATTGGCTGTGTAAAGGCTTCTTTTTCCATCATAAACTGGTCTACGGTCCCCAAATATAGTTACTTTAAAATGCTGAACCATTGAGTCAACCACTTCCCTAAAGAAGAGGAAAAAAATACATTCACATAATCCTCTGCAAGATGAAATACAAAGTTTTAACTGAATTATTTTCTGGTACTATTTAAAATAATGCCAGAATTTACTGAAATTCTAAAAGACAATCATATATGATAAAGATTTTGCTTTCAGGACTATGGCTTAAGATACCAAAAAAAATTTATTCCTAGCAATGGATGACATGCATTTCGCAAAAAACAAAGACGAATGAAGCCAGTAAATCACTTAATCATGCTGGGTCACAGTTGGTCTGCAAAGTATTACCCCTAGAAATAGACTCAAAATCCCATTCATCATCTCTAACTACTCCCTGACATATTAACCTATCTTTCTCAGAGAATTAAGTTCTCTTTCTTCTACGCTCAAATTTTAACTAGTACAAGTATCTAGCAGAACTCCGTTGTATTATAATTAGCATATATTTCACTTCCACTAGACTCAAGTGTTTTTTTTTTTTTCCATTTAAATTTCCAAGACATTCACCAATGTAATAACTTCCACATTTATAGCTTAGGGACATCTGTGACATTTTTCATGTTGTGTGACCATTACTGCTACCCTTTTACAAAATATTCCACCACCACTGGCATAAGCTCAATGCCTGGCAAAAAAAAGCTTCTCCTTTCCCCCTCCCTCCCACCCCTAGTAACCACTAGTATTATATATCCCATTGCTGGTGGGGATGTAAAATGGTACAACTACTGGAAAACAGTATGGTGATTCTTTTGAAAATTAAAAATAAAACTGCTAAATGACCGAGCAATTCCATACACCCCAGGGACCAAAAAGTAGTGATGTGAACAGACATATGTACACATAGGCCCATATTGGCACTATTCACAATAGCAAAAAAGTGAAAAATAAGTATCCACCAGTGGATAAAATCTGGTACAAATATACAATGGAAAACTATTCAGTCATAAAGAGAAATGAAGAACTGATACACACCACAACATGGATGAACCTGGGAGAAATGATACTGAGTGAAATAAATCAATCATAAGAGAACAAATATTGTATGAACCCACTTACATGAAATGACAAGAATAGGTAAATATACAGAGAGCAATGGTTATTAGTAGTTACCTTCCTTTGTTATGAGACCAGAAAAACTGCATGGTGCCTGGCTACCACCACTGAATATTTTGATTAAGGACTCAATAAATAAGTCTTAATCAAAAGGAGGAGGGATTTAGAACATGAATTTCTTATAGAATCCAGACTTACTGGACACATTGAGGCTGGAGGAATGCCTGAATCTGTTGCCCTGAGAATTCTGAATCTTGAACTGAAATGATCCCCTGAAGTCATCTTCAAACTAAACAACACTTTAGTTGAGTTAGTAAAAAATGTATTGATCATTGTGCTCTTTTAAAGAATTATTTATATGAGATCTAACCGACAACAGTAACTCTAAAATACAGATGAGTAACTTACGGGGTAATGAGTCTAAGTCAATGGTGGTGAAACAATACGGGGAGAGAGAGTGAGAATGGTGACACAACATGAAGAATGTAACCAATGTCAGTGAACTGCACATGTAGAAATTATTGAATGGGTGTGTGATCTGCATATACTTCACTAAAAATAAAATACATATTTTTTTGAAATTGCAGACTATGTTGTTGTTGCCAGATGCCTGTGAGTTGGTGTGACTCACAGTGACCCTGTGTACAGCAGAACAAAACATTGCCTGGTCCTGTGCCAGCCTCACAATGCCGCTATACCTGAGCCCATCATTGTAGCCTCTGTCCATCTCATTGAGGGCTTTCCCCTTTTTGCTGACCCTCCACTTTACCAAGCATGGTATCTTACTCCAGGGAATGGTCTCTTCTGACAACATGACCAAAGTAGGTGAGACAAAATCTGGCCATTCTAACTTCCAAGGAGCATTCCGGCTACACTTCTTCCAGGACAGATTTGTTTGTTCTTCTGGTAGTCCACGGTAACTTTCGTAATCTTCACCAACAACACAACTCAAAACCATCAATTCTTCCTCAGTCTTTCTTATTCACTGTGCAGCTTTCACATGCATATGAGGCTACTGAAAATATCATGGCTTGGGTTAGGTGCACTTTAATCTTCAAAGAGACATCTTAGCTCTTCAGCACTTTAAAGAGGTCTTTTGCAGATTTTTCCAGTGCAATATGTTGTCTGATTTCTTGACTGCTGTTTCCACTGGTGCTGACTATGGATCCAAGTAATATGAAATCCTTGGCAACTTCAGTCTTTTCTCCACTTATCATGATGCTGCTCAATGGTCCAGTTGTGAGGATTTTTGGGAATTATAAATCAATATTTATTTCTTTAAGCACATATTTCTAAAAAACACAGAAAAGATATCTGGATGTGTACCAGATAAAAACAGCAGTTACCGAGTAAGTGGGCAAGATGGCGGACTAGGCAGAAAGACTGCACAGACTCTCTTCAACAAAGAAAAGGGAAACCAATTAACAGATACAGAAGATAATCCTGGACCCCTGAGCCTTGAAGGGAAGGATATACAAGCGGACTAAACCCCAACTAGCAGAAGAATTTGCGTGAAAATACCAAAAGGGGACCGGACGGAGCTGTGGTCTGGCAGCGATCCTGAGCAATCCTGACGGGCACAGACAGCTTGGAGATTCC